TAGCACTCCAATCTTGTTTATTTCATTCTTATTTTGAACATATAGGAAAACATCCCTGCCGTGATTGGAAAGAGCCCGTGAAACACAACTATTCCCTACTGGAGTTTTAAAAAATAAAGGGAAAAAAAAATCACATCGTTGACATCATAGATGTCAATTTGATTGAAGATCTAGTCTGGTCCTACAGATTGGTACCAGTGGGATCTCCTAGGTCCTTAGTGCTTATCCTGAAGATGACCACATGTTTTTTTTTTCCTGAGCACTCATCTTCCTTACAAGAGAGTATGCACTGGGTCTGGGAAGTACTTACACTTGAAGTCATCCATTTACATGCATTGAGACTGACACTGTACCTTTCTGAACTTTTATTGGTGACTTCATTTTGGTAACAGCACAGTGAGAAAAGGTGGAAAGAAAAAGAAGACTAAAACTTCTTTCAGAATTACATTCTGAAAAACAGAGGAACTTCTCCCTTAAAAAGTTGGTTACATATCATAAATAATGTCACCTGTTGTGATTTGGTTTACATGTCTCTCAATACCAATGATTTTGGACATGCTTTTATTTCTCCACAATCAGAAATTGCATAGGCAATGACCTTACAATGTATTTTCTGGCAGGAAAATTACAGCTTCAGTGCCTCTTCCTCTTCAGCTTGTGATTTTCTGGTAGCAGTTGGGAGAAATGGGCAGAAGTAAGAGCAAGTCAGGTACTACTGTGCCTGCATGCTGGGAAACGGGATTACTCTGTCATCTGGCCTTGAATGGGGCAACTAAGTAAGTCCTGAGCACTTGAGTGGTGGGAAGGCTGCTGACAGTGGGACCTGAGGCGGGATTAGCATTTCTTGCTCTCCTTGCTGAAGTGGGATTGTCTCACACCCTCCTTCAATCAGAGCAGCAAAGCCTTATAACCTGGTGGAAATGCCACATAGAAGTTCGTGGCCAGCTTAGCTTTGCAATCCTTGAGAAAGTGAAACCTTCTATTTGAAGAAGTACAGGATATCTGTGACAATGAAGTCCTTCTTAGAGGACTGCACAGACTATCACATACCCTTAGCACCTTATATAAGAATGATCCTAATTTGATCAGGTTAGGTTTTCAAATAAACTGCTGCAGTGTGTTCTCAGTGGAGAGAAACAAAATGAATGCCTAATGTCAGTCTTCAGGGTCTCATTAACCTGGCACACCTGGCAAATAAATAAATAAAACAAATTTTAAAACTCTGGAAGCTGCTATCATCTTTAAGATCTTTCAGTAGCACTGGAAAAACAATTTAAAGAAAAAAAAATTATTTAGCTATTAGACTGACCCCACAGGACGATACAATAATTTAATGGCTTCCCATGTTTCTTTACTTCTCTTGTACTTTACATGCACAAGAGATCTGTTTGAGAAAGGCCTCCATTCCCAGGAGAATACCAAGAACTTCATTTACAGTACATAAGCTAAGTACATTGCATTCCTTTGCATTTAAAATTTACCGTTCAGCTAAGCTTTCCCCCAGTACAGGAAACACTGGTGATGTTGCAAGGGCAGAGATCACTCAGAGTACCTGCACTGCTCTGTCAACTACTGATGTCCATAATCAAAGTTTTCAGTTGCTAGCTATTAAAATAAAAGCCTCTCCAGCCAAATCACTGCTAGATGTTCTCTGGCAATAGCACCAGGAACTACATGAAAGAACATAGATGCCAAAGAGCTACATCCCATATTCGTTTGCAGCTTAGCAATTACGATTACTGTACAATAAAATAGTAACTTTTATGGGACAGCAGACCAACCTGTCCTTCCATTAACACTGGATTTTCAGCAAGAACTCTATTTACTTCAGCAGCATTCACCTAGCTATTGCTTCCAGAGCAAAGTCTGGATGCACAGTTTACTGGAGGGTGTAATGCGAAAGGGCTTTTTGTTGTGCTGTCTTTCACAGAACTCAATACTGAAAGGCTTGTGGGTGAGCAGCACTGTTTTCGGTGCCACATTGCAAGACTACCTGAAAATGCAGCTCTGGCAGCAGTGTGAAGGTGTTTACTGTCAAGAATACTAGAATGAAAAAAAAATATCAATGGGAAAAAAATGGAAGCATCTAATCACTATAAGTGGACATACAAGCAAAGAAAAACACAGTGGAGCACATTGAACTAAACTTATCCCCAGTGTAACTCTAGCCAGCTGGCCAGTATCTGGCTATCAAAATATGTTTAATGGGGAAAGAAACAAACAAAATACAGTATCAAATCTGTCCTAGAACAGAGCACATTGGTTTTATTTGGATGAATCAAGATGCTTTCTGTAATGCCAGTCTTTGAGATAAACTACTTGTTACTGCAACTCCCATATCAAGCTACAATCCTTTTTTGTGAACCTTTCTGTCCCCCTTTTTATTTCACAGCATTCTATACATATCCAATATGCTATTTTCTTGTGATCACAATGAAGAGGGATTTTAGGAATTTTTGTACCTCTATGACTGTGGAAACAAGATACATGAATACATCTATCATTGCTCCTTGTCTAGAGTAAAAGCCTGCATTATCTGTGCAAGTTTATGGCTAATTGTTCTGCATAAGATATGAGTGTCTTATTTCTACTTGGGAAATTAATTTGTTTTCATGTAGTTGCACATAGCAAGCTATAAAGTAGGTTTTATGAAGCCAATAATGCAGATATAATACTTGAGGAATTCCTTTTGGTTTGGTTATATTTATTTTTCCAAACATTTTGTTTGAGAGAAAATGAGATTGCTATCTGCTGTTTCCTTATTTTTTTGCAGGAAAGCAAAGGGTTGTTGACTTCCTCTCCCCTCCCTTCCTTCCTTCTTTCTGAAGGTACTGTACTCATCTGAAAAAAAAAGAGAACGAAATGATTGTTCCTGTTCTCTTTCTTAAGTCATTTGAAACACTGTCCCTGCTAGTTTTCTAAGTTTACTGCAATCTCTGCACAGGGGGGTGGGATAGAGAGGGAGAGAGAGGCAGAGATTACCAACATGAGAGCAGGTAGAGAGTTTAGGGCAAGACTCCTTCCAGCTTCAACAACTGGTAAGTTAAGTAAAAATGCTTTTATGGTTTACTCTTTAGAAGTGCCATATATACGCTTTTGTGTTAAGAAAAGGTATTAATCAGATACACATTTAACTGATAAAAATATAATAACCATATGCATTGACAAGCAGTATATTTATGCTATTATCGATACCTATAATCTGGTTTTCAGCTGCTGGTGATAATAGTATACAGTTTAACCAACGCAGGCAAGAAAATATTTTCCAATGAGTCTAATAATATTCATAACATAGTGTGCTGTGAATTTTGCATATATGGCTTCTGCTACCAGAAGCCTGTTACAGGCTGCACTAACTTCATCCTGAATGTTTCAGCAAGATTCACTGGGCCATTGCTGAAATAAAGAGAAGCTGTCATATGCAAATTGATGTATTTTGTTATCATCTGCCACTACTGAAGTCTGCGCCAGCCCACCAACCTGTGCTATAGTGGGAGAAAAATTGCTATGTTTTTTCCCTTCGAACAGTATTGTGTTTACAATTACACATATTTATCTCTACTTGTCTGTGTATATGATTAGTCTAGGAACAGTGACATTTAAGGCATAGTGAGACAGTTCCAAGTTCTCACTTGAAAAATAAAAGAGTTCATGTTGCGTTGTATATAACACGAAGGCTGACCACCAGCATAAGTAACAGGATGGACTCAATGTTTATTTGTTGTTTGCATTGCTGTAGATACCAATAACATTTTTCATATTAGGCATAAATGTACCAGAATGATCAGAAGTGGTGCATGAAATGAGTGATTGAATGCAAGAGTATGTTTCAAATACTGGAAGAGAAAAATCTCCCATGCCACCCTCATGCTTTTATAGAAGTAAAATGCAGAGGTGTGGGGAAGAATTAGGACAGACGTCTGTTTCTCTGCAGAAGGAGACCTTGGTTATCTTCTGATACAATATTTCACCAAACTGCAGCTTTCTGAAGCTCAAGGTCCTTCGCAGGATGCCCAGTGCTCAGGCAGAGCAGCTCCAAATGGTAGGCAGGCATTGTGGAGGGCTGGCAGGCAGTTCCAGCTGCCCCCTGCTCCTGCTCCCACTCCCGTTCCCGCTCCTGCTCCCACTCCTGCTCCTGCTTCCTCCGGGCACCTGGGCTGTGGTGCTGCCTTGGGACAGCCCTCAACTCTCACCCCTCACTGATCCAACTAGTGGAAAGGATTTTCTCCCCCCCTTATCTGGTGTATTTCTGCAAGTTTTTTCACAGAAAGGAGTGATCTACCCCAAATTCAACCTCATTTCTGGGTAAGTTGTAGATTCCCTTCACTTTAGGAGCGAAGATGAGTTCTGCCAAAGGAGGTGGAAATAATTTTTTTTCTGTCTCCATAGCTTAAAGTTGCTGTACAGTCTAGTCTGATACCAAGTAGGTTTATGTGGTTATACTTAACCCACAAAGAATACTCTGCTAATAGCAAATAAATGTCAGATGCTGTCGTGAAAACCACTTGTCACACATTTCGCTTGGGATACCCGAGTTTATGTTTTATGTTACTAAATACTGATTCAAATTAAATAGATGATTTGGACAGCTATTTTGACAGTTACATGTCAAACACCTGGAAAACCACTTTTTGCTTTGAGTGAGAAGTAGAGGAGTCTCCTAAGCATTAATAAAACCCCATAAACTCTGTATTTGTATTTGCTCAAACTGCAGAGTGCTAGTCTGGATTGCAGTCACTTGTAGGTTTTGATCCAGTTAGTTCAGAAGTTCAGTTTACTATGTAGGTAAGAGCCAGTTGCAGCCTTTAGGTAAAGGTTTTGTTTCTGAAGATACTAAACATTAATGCATTCTTGATTTGGACCATGTATGTGATAAATTCTTTCTCTGTGAGATACATAAATAGGAATATGTGTGTTCCTATACATAGTAGGTGGCCAAAAGCAGTACATGCTATTTTTAAAACCATTCCCCAATAATGAACACACAGAAAGAGCATTTTTAAAGGAATGTTTAATAACTTCAGCAGTAGAAAATAGACCTTGAATTTTGACCTTCATTCTTAGATTTAAATTTTCCTTCAAACAATACATCTTTGCAATCATTTGGAGTTTATTTGTTTTTACGTTATATAATGTGTTGCTGGAATAAGTGTAACATGATTTAGTATAAGGGTAATTTGTAACACAACTAATATTTTTCTCGAGGTGACAGGAAAAGGAGAATTTTTGCTGGATTGTACTATTCTTATCACACATTGCTGAGGTACTGACAAACAGAAAAGGGTATAGTCTGAGGGTGGATTGAGGACACATCTACTACCAGCTTATGGCACAAATTAAATGCTTGTGAAATGAATTTTCAGTTATTCACCTTGAGGTGTACGTATTTTCCTGTATAAGAGAATTATTTAAAGCTATTATTTCCATTTGATTTGTTCTCAATTATTATGAAACAAAATACAGACAGATTTTGCTTTTCTTCTGAAAAATAAAAGTGAAATTGTACCATTAATGACAAAGACGTTACAGAAACAAGTTGTAGACCATGAAAATCACAAGTAAACCGCTCTGATTCAAAAAGCATAGAAAGTGGTAGAATTCTTTCTGTAAATGTCAATTGCCTTTTCATACTTACACTAGTTTCTTTAAGGCTTCAAACTGTTGAGAATGTGAGTTTTGGATGCAGAACACAAGCACTGAGTCACATTCCTAGTAATATTTTGTAATCTCTAATGTAGATTCTTGACCAGCAGATAATTTGAATCTTCTTAAGATTTTTAAGGTTTTTAAATTATTTTTGCACTCTTTCAAACAAACACATCAATAAAAGCTTTGCCTTAGGACTATCTGAATGTAGAGTAGATACTGTTGGACCAAGAGGCACAATGGGCATCTCACAGAAGAACATACTGGCATGTCTTTTATGTGCTGTTTCTAGTAGCGCCAGATAGACATGCAGGATTTAGAATGGGAGAAGCATGGGGGGATGAATCATGGTAGCAAACCAAGGCAAGCCTTTTATACAGAAGCAGAGGAGTATAGATTACCTCAGATTAACAAAAATTAACAAAATTTTTTCCTATCTTTGATATTGCAAAGCCACAATGATGCAGAAAAACATGTCTGAATGAACCACTCCACTCAGCTGGACATGCCAGCAAAATACCACCCTGAGAAACAAAATCAGTAAGGTATTAGGATATGGTATATATATATATTTGTATATGTATAAAGTGTTAGGGTTTTTCTGTGGCCATGGTTTATGCACACAGGTAAGGCAAAGGTGTGTAAGGAAAAGTAACTTCCTATTAGTTGATAAGAAATTATCCACAGCTTTTGAGCACTAATGCACATTCCCCGGTAGCAACTGACCCAATGAAACAAACTGCTCCTTCAAGAAGACCTTACAAGTTCTGTATAAACTGCTACAGAGAGCTGTAAAAATAGTTATTTGTTTGATGAATTCATTTTATACCCCAACCGTTTTTTAAAAATAGACCACCTGTTAAAACCAAATGAGTATTTTCTTCCAAAATGTAGTAGTTTTCTCCATTCCAGTTTAACATCCCAGAAGACCACTGAAAAGGAAGGAATGTCAGCTTGGAGAAGAAAGAATTATAGAGAGACAAATTATATGAAGCTTTTAAAGAGAAAGAAACAAGTCTAGAAAAAAGATGACCTAGAATTATCCCCCTTTCTGCTGAAAAGCTGATATTCTGAAACTGAGATCACAACTCTCCATTGCTGTTAAAATGCAGTGGAATTTTATGGATGATATTCAGCTTTTCATCCAGTGAAGAGGTCTAAGTTAGGACCTGTGGTTATTTAAAAGACATATTAAACTGCATGGTGGATGTCTGATTTTTCTATATATCTGTCTGGCAGGGACTAGTCCTTCTTGCCTGGCTTCTAAAACACTAATGATCCAATGAAAAATATTATTTAATCTTTGTTTTGTTTTATTTCCTTCTAAGCTTAATAAGCTTGTGATTTGCTTTAGTAAAACAAATAGTTTTATACTACTGTTAACCTGATAAGCAAAACACAGCATTTTCTTTCTAAACCAACAATGATCTTATGTATCATAAATCGTTTAATGTCACTGGAAGTAATTAAACTAAGTAATCATATATTTAAAGAAAATATTTTTGTTCTCTGAAAGTTAAGGGAACATATTATGTGAATATTTGCCTTTTTTTTTTAACTTTCACTTTTTATTTCCTGCTTTGTATGCTGGAAAGACACATTATTAATTCTTTAAATGAAGGATGAAACAAAAAGTATCGTTTTCACTTTATCTTCCCTCCCTCTTCTACTATGAAAGTTAAAGCCCTGGCAGATTTTCCTTCTACTTTGTAGGTACACATATGTTCATGTGATTTAAATGAAAAAGCTTAGGACAAAAAGTGTTTTCTGAAAACCTGTTTTCCCCTTGCCAATATTAATAAAAAATAAACCAGGAAACATCCAACTTTCCAGCTGCTTATGCTCATTAGCAGCACTAGAATTCAGAGAACACTGAAAAATACAAATGTTCCCTGAATCTGAAGGTTCATTTAATTACAAAAGGCTACAAGGTAACAATGATAAGGACACTTTTCACTAATGAATTGGAGAAAGGCACAACTTATTTGAAGTTGAAAGCAAGGCTATGAGAAGGATCGTACATTTTTAGTTGTTATTCTTAGATGATGCTGTACTACAAGTACTAATGCACAGCAAGCAGGCATTGCCCATAAAGTGCTCTGTCTGGAGGCCAATGAAGAACAGAAACTACCTAATTTCTCCACATGGAAAGAATTTTGCAGACAGATGTTTCCAGGGTGGAGGAGCAAGTGTAACTGCTCTGGGATGGGTGCATGTGGTTTTGCCCTGTTCCCCAAAACACCAGGACCTCTGATAAGCAAAAAATTTCTTGTGAGGAGGGACAAGATGACTTCCAGTTTTCCTTTTCACTGTTTTGTTGTTATTCCTGACTGATCAAAACCCACTTATGCTTATGGTTAGGGTTGAAATGTAACTGTTAGTCTCTTTTTGCAGTG